TGGGGGATGAGATTCCCATGGATCTTATTCCCAAACTGGACATATATATATTTTTTTTTCTTCTTCTTCTGTTAAGATGGAGACTTGAAGTAAAAAAGTGGTATTCTTTTGAAGCTAAAGTTATCTCTTTAACCCGCGAGAAATTCTAGTTTGAATGAGAGGTGAGTGAGGGAATGGAGAGAGATTTTTTTTCTGTTAGCTAAATAGAATGAGGGAGGAGTATTATATTTTCCTTCATTGTCTCCACACGTGATCTCACACAAATTTCCGTCTCACCTCATTTTATATATATATATATATTTTCTTACTTGGTAAATAAATAAATTTTTTAAAGACTAAATTATAATATTGAAAAATTAAGTTAATATTGTATTTACTAAATATTATTGGATTTATTAAAATGTTTTAAACTTTTAATAGAAATTAAAATGAAAAATCTATTTAAAATATCTTTCAAACTATTATTATTTTTTAAAATATGTATAAAAGTGGGAAAAAGTTGTTTGTGGCAAACCTCAATTAAAAGTAGGCCTCTTGTCACAATCACAATCACACTACATTATTGCAGTAAAGTAAGACAATGATCGTGCGACATATTCTAACCCAACAAACAAGTCAGTCGTATGAAATTTGGATCTCACAGATAATATCGATGTATGCTCGAGCCTAAGGTCACATTTAAGAGAAATACTTTAGAAAATATGAGCAAGACATTTTAGTCCTGACAAGTATATTCATGATTTTGGTGACAGAAGTTGATATTGACAGAACAATAATAGTAAAGACCTATCTAACATGAAAGTAAGCAAAAAGGATTTGGAACAAACATGTGGTCATGGACAACACGCTTAGACAAGCATGACCATGACATCTAACATGCGACCACAAACGACACGCATAGGACAAACATGACCGTGACAGCCCTTAAGCATTGTATTAAAATTATATGCGTGCAGAATCCCTTTTAGATGCAGTTCACCGCCATTGTAATAGAACTCAAGAGTGTTGTATTGTTGTACAAAACATAACAATTGGAAACACAGATCATATGCTGTGGACCATCATATCAAACTCATCCTTAAAAAACACAACTAATCTTCTATACTTTAATTTCACTCTATTTTGTTTAACCTTTGTCAATTCCATGGGGTTATCTCAGCAATCAGTTCCATCAAATATGATTATTTTTTTTATTTTTTTTATCCTTTTTTGAAAAGTCAATTTTGACCAAAGCAAAAAAAGAAAAACCCACATACCTTGTTGCTTAGGAAGCCAAACTGTCGCAGCAGAATTGCAGGAAAAATCTCCTTTGACCATCCAAACAGATCACACCCCACCTTCTCCCCCTCCGCCGGCTGCGGCGGCGACGCCTTTGCCCATGGTACCTTCATTAAATGCCATTTCAAAAGGAGATCTATCTATATATATATATATATAGAATGGGCTGGTAAATTTTAGTGTATTTTTTTACCCTAAGATGGGTTAGTGGCTATGGTGGATGAGTGATATGATATTGTCCATTTTGAATATAAATTCTTTTGATTTTTTTTTTAATTCCCTAAAATGGCTCTTACCAATAGAAATGATTTATTTATTTGGACTCCACTTTCCAAAAAATGACATGCTGCAGCATTTCGATTTTTTTCTAATATTTTTTCTCTTTGTATCGACTTATTCAATGAATAATGCCTATTTATCGATCTCAATACAAATGTAAGATACATTTTGAATTACATACATTATAGAAAAACATAAATATAATATTAATATACATTTTGAGATTTAAATATTTGACTTTTATCTGTTAAACATGGACAAAAAGACATAATAGTTTGACTTTTTTTTCTTTTACTTTATACATCATCTTAAATGTCCCATGCAACCTTACACTATAAGTTATATTTAACCTTTATCAAATTTTAGATATAAAACATCATAAAATTTTAAAAAACCGGTAAGTTAAAAAACATCATAATAAATGTAAACCTTAAATTTTAAAATTTTTAATTTTATGTTAATGAATTCATGAATTATTTGTTATTTTTTGAAGTTTATAAATCAATTAACATAATATAATTTTATTAGTTAATTCTGAAAAAAAAAATAAAGAAAAAAATAAAGAAATGAAGAAGGATGGATACATGAGAAAGTGGGAAAAAGAAACCAAATAAGTTTTATATTTTTTAAAAATTAAAATAAGGGAATCGAAAACAGACTTAGTTTAATCACGTAATTAATTAATACGATTAGTGTTTATTGCTTCCTTCGTGAAGCCATCAATTTCTAATATCTAAATTAATTTTTCTGGTTTTCTCTCACTTTCACCAATAATATAAATTATATATATATTTTAAAAATTATACATGCATCAGTAATTAAGATAACCTAATTTTCTACACCAATCTCAATTTCATCATTTATTTTGTAAAATGATCAATTTGATGTTAATAAAAATAATTTAATGATATACATTTTTTTTACAATTTTTAATAAATTCATTAACAACTTTCACTCGATTAAACCAAAAATGAAATATACCATTTTGATTTAAACCGGATGATCGTAAAGAAATTATTGAATGCGACCGTCATTTTTCGTGATGGTTTTAAAATATCTCAAAAGTATATATTAATTTTATATAATTTTTTATGCTAATTGTAGCCTATTTAAAGCTTATTAATTAGGCATAAATAAGATTAGAAGTGAGATTTATAGCAATGGGAAAAGATTCTTGATTGTAGCCAAGAGCATGTGATCCATCCAACTGATTAATTAAGATAATTGTAATTAATTATGAACTATAATCCATATACATTTAAGTGTTTATTTAAATACCTAACTTGGGCTGGGTCTTCTCTAGGATAGTTAATTAAATTGAATGTGGCTTAAATTATAGTTTACTTCTAATATTAACTTTCTTCCAAGCTTTATTATTATTCAAAACATTGTTACATCCCATTTGTTAATTTGGTTATATTTCATTTATTAAAATTGGAAGTAAAAAATACACAAATTTGTTCACCATGTCACAATCAACAGCGACAAATTATGGATTTAATATCACCAAATTGTGAGAGATTAGATAGTTATTAAAGAGAGTAGTAGCCGCACGTCCCCCAATTAATATTTTTGTCAACTCTTTACCCCATTTTTTTAATATTTTAATTTAAACCTCCCAAAAATTAATTTTTTAAACAAATCCCACATTAAATTGCCCCTTTATTCTTCTTCTTCCTCTGTTTCAAAGCCCTCTGATACAAACTTTTCCGACAGCCTTAAAAAACAACCACCCATCTACGGCGGCCGGCCATATATAGTAATATGGATGATGTTACCTTCAACAATAACCACCAATTCTATTCTGTTGATCTCTTAGAAGATAGCGACGAATTCAAGGCAGCCCCTGATTCTCCTCCTCCTCCTCCTCCTCCTCTGCCTCCTAATTCCACCGCCGCCAAGAAGGGCAGGTCAGTTGGTGAATTCAGATTGATTTTGTTTTTTGTGTATTTATTTTTTTAAAAATTTGATGGTGTGTAGAAGAGGGATGAAGAAGAAAGTGGTGTCGGTGCGGATTAATGGCGACGGCCCAAGGAATTCCTCTGGTTCTACGACTCCACCCTCTGATTCTTGGGCCTGGAGAAAGTACGGCCAAAAGCCCATCAAGGGCTCCCCTTATCCCAGGTTATCTATTTTATTAAAGCTTGATTGGAATGAAATTAATGGGTTTTGATTGGATTTGGGTTTAATTTTGTAGGGCGTATTATAGGTGTAGTAGCTCCAAGGGATGTCCGGCGAGGAAGCAAGTAGAGAGGAACCGGCTTGATCCGACCATGTTGCTCATTACTTATTCCTGCGAGCATAACCATTCCGGTCCGGTTTCCAGAAACAACAATCACCACCAAGCCGCCGCCGTGAAACCCACTTCGCCAGAGACGGTTCCGGTTCATCCAGAACCGGAGGCGGAAGAGAAATTTGTGGAGTCGTTAGAGGACCAGTTCAGCTGGTTTGGGGAAATGGAAACCACGTCGTCCACAGTGCTCGAAAGCTCCATTTTCTCGGGGAGATCATCCAGCGGAGTGGGAGATTCGATTTCCAGTGACGTGGCAATGCCTTTTCCGATGGGGGATGATGACGTGGACGACTCTCTCTTTGCGGATCTCGGGGAGTTGCCGGAGTGCTCTGTCGTGTTCCGACACGGCGGAGGCCCAGAATTACCAGTCGATGAACAACCGGCTACAAGCCAGCGGCGGATCACTCCTTGGTGCGGAGCCACCACTTGAGATGTCCGGCGCGGCCTTCTCTTTGTTTGTATACTTCTAGGAGCATCGTCCGCCATTAATGCCGGGAAAGTTTCTTCCTTCTCTTCTTTTCTTTTTAAATTATTATTTTTTTTTTCTAAAACTTTTATATTAACAAAATTAAATTCTTGTTTCATTTCATCCCAACTTAAAATTACCATTTTAATCGCGATTATAATTCGTGTGGAACATTTTAATTAATCACTGATTAAAGTTTTTCAAAATAATGCATTAACAATTTTAATCTTAAATCGTTACATTAAAATAAGATCAGCCCCACCTGATTAGAGCTCCATAAATAAATACCTCTACATGCTTAGGGATTACACAAATAAATAAAATTTTATTCAATTATGTAATAAACAAAAGAGATTTGAAAAGATAATATATTTTATTTATTCAAATCTCTCCATTAATTTTTTATTTTCTTTTTTGACCTTTTGTTTTCGTCTCTACGTAACCTATAAACAAAGGGTTTTTTTTTCCCCAATACGTAATATACTTAATAAATTACACGTCAGAAATTAATATTATAATAACGTCATTCCTTATATTATAATAATGTAAATTCTTCCATATTATTATTATTTTATTAGGTTGATAAAAATGCCTTTCTACCCTTAAATTTTATGTTATAGTTTAAATTAATACAATTATTAATTTTTCATTTTTAAATCGAATAAGAATCAACAAACACCTAAATGAAATCAATAGCTCTCTCGGTGAGATCAAACTTAAAATTTGAAGACCATAATATATTGGAAAGTAAATAAAATCCAGGCAATATCAATATCCTATTCAAGACATCTCTGAAGAATTGCTACTCAACTATGGTGCGCATAAGGATGCAGCAATATCGAATCAGCCGCATCGAAAAGAATGCAAATCAAGAGCCTAACTCGAACAGCAGCCAGCCTTCTTTACAGCGGATACGTCCTTACCGACGTCGATTTTATCTCCTTTTGAAGGAACTGTGGCAGCAGCAGCAGCGCCATCGCCAGCCTCCATGGACTTCTTGCTTACAATGTGATAGATTTGTGTAAGGACTTCGGCGAATGAGTTTTCGACATTGGTTGCTTCCAGTGCTGAAGTTTCCATGAAATAGAGAGACTCCTTCTCAGCAAAAGATTTTCCGTCCTCTGTTGATACTGCCACTAGGTGTCGGAGGTCTGACTTGTTACCAACAAGCATGACGACAATGTTAGGATCTGTATGGTCTCGCAACTCCCTTAACCACCTCTCGACGTTTTCAAAAGTGGAATGTCGTGTGACATCGTAGACAAGCAGTGCACCTACTGCGCCTCGATAGTAAGCACTGGTTATTGCACGATACCTACGAACCCGAAAAGAGATGGTCAGTCCGTAGAAAGAGTTAGGCAGGAGTGTGTGTGATTGACTTGAAGACTATCGTAAACAAGACTTAAACCTGAGCACATTAAAAAACTTTATGATTCATCGAGGATGAAATAGCACGTTGACCGCCTAATTAATGCAACATCAAACCAAACCTCACCGATGATCAGCTAAAGCATTGAATCACCAAATAAATCATGTTTAGAATATAACTCTCTCTCCATTGCTACCACAGAAAATGAAAGAGATACTATATAAGGGTCTCAAAACCTCTATCTAGCATACATATTTTAAAATCTTGAGGGGAAGCCTAAAAAGAAAAGTCTAAAGAGGACAATATTTGCTAGCGGTGAGCTTGAGACATTACTAATGGTATCAGCTAGACACTAGGTGGTGTGCCAGCGAGGATGTTGAGCCCCAAAGAGGGGTGGACACCAAGCAGTGTGCCACCAAGGACGCTGGGCTTGAAGGAGGGTGGATTGTGAGATCCCACGTCAATTGGAGAGGGGAACGAGTGCTAGCGAGAATGGTGGGTCCCAAAGGGGTGGATTGTGAGATCCCACATCGGTTGGAAAGAGGAACAAGGCATTCTTTATAAGGATAGGGTTTAGGGTTTAGGGTTTACTATATGGTCTCAAAACCTCTATCTAGCAGACATATTTTAAAATCTTGAGGGGAAGCCTAAAAAGAAAAGTCTAAAGAGGACAATATTTGCTAGCGGTGAGCTTGAGACATTACTAGTGGTATCAGCTAGACACCAGGTGGTGTGCCAGCGAGAATGTTGAGCCCCAAAGAGGGGTGGACACCGAGCAGTGTGCCACCAAGGACGCTGGGCTTGAAGGAGGGTGGATTGTGAGATCCCACGTCAATTGGAGAGGGGAACGAGTGCTAGTGAGAATGTTGGGTCCCAAAGGGGTGGATTGTGAGATCCCACATCGGTTGGAGAGAGAGGAACAAAGCATTCTTTACAAGGGTGTGAGAACCTCTCCTTAGTAGACGCGTTTTAAAACCTTGAGGGAAAGCCAAGAAGAAAAAGCTGAAAGAGAACAACTTAGGCCGTTACACAAAGATAGACTCATACTCGTATCTACCGAACTGTGAAAATCCTAGTCTACCCAGGGAATTAAACGTTCTTTTTGTTTACCAAGTTTAATTCCTGTGTCCATTATTCAAAAGAAAAGAGTGTCCCCATTTGCAATTTCATTTATACTATTCAGAGGGATGATTTGTAGCTCTCTCTAGAGGTAGAATCAATACTTGATAATGAAAAGCATGCACAGGACGTGGACACAATGTTAATGAAACTTGTGAAAATGAAAAGGGAGATTGCAAATATATTCAATTTTGAGAAATCAAATACTAATCCTGATAAAACGCTAATGGCATTGTTACCCAAGACTCCAGGATTCATAAAGTTGAGAGAAAGAGGAAGAATACGAAGGGTGGGGGATAAGGTGTCAGTTCACGGACGCAAACATATAGACACCATCATTCTGAGCTAATATATGAAGAGAAAGGCAGAGGAGTAGTAGATCCGTATAGGGTTATGCAATCAAAAAACTAAGAACCAAGAATGTATATGTCTCAACATAAGGGGTCTGGACTGCTTGAACTTGCATTCTGTAGTACTGAAATGAAAAGCCAAAGACAAATATGCATATAAAAGGGATCGTGAATGGGGGCTATCATGGTTTGATCCCATACCTCAAAAGCATCTATGGTTGAGATGTACTAAAAGTCTATAACACGTGAATGTCCATTCCTATGCCCATGATTCGGAGAAACCATGGCAGAGTACTAAACTCAGCAGCAGTAATGACTGAGAAAGCACACAAGTTTATGTTTGGGTCGAGATATCAAAGATTTTAAGTCTAGTACTATGGGGTCTCATTATTTCCAATGTAGAAACAAAAGAACAAATGCTCTGGAATTTTTAATGGAACTACGTAATCCTTCTTTCTCAAGGCCCAGACTCGGGAAACTACCTAATCTAATAACAATTGTTGTTGAACATGTCGCATTCCTTGAAGTCATTTCTAATAATGATTACCCACCAAACAGAATTAACAGCCTAATTCCTTATTTTTTGAAGAAAATTGAAGTAAGAGACAACATTCAGACATTGCAACAGTTCTTGGAGTCTGTGGGATGCAATGCCTAAGTTCTCTAAAAAAAAATTTCCTACAGCATTAAGGAATTCTAATCATTCTTGTACGTCGATGTATTTAAGGTGTAACCACACAAACAACTCTAAGCAGCCCTGTTCAGATCCACTTAATTTGTAAACTACCCTCCGCGGTTCTAATATCCAAAACTCTAATTTAGTGGATGGTAAAGAGATTTATGATATAACCCATCATAAACCTCACATTCAAGTGAAGCTAATACAGAGAATTCCATCAGTAAAATCATCTAAAAGAAGCATCACCCAAAAATTCCATTGGCCATTCGTCAACAACCATATAGCTCAAAATACCAAGCACCATAAAACCTAAGCAAAAATAAGAAATACCCAGATCTTGAAAAGGGGAGAGGTAAGGAAGAGAAACTATTTGGAACCTTTCCTGGCCAGCAGTATCCCAAATCTGGGCCTTGATGACCTTGCTATCGACATTCAAGCTGCGAGTAGCAAACTCAACCCCAATGGTGGACTTGGACTCGAGGCTGAACTCGTTTTTGGTGAACCTGGAGAGCAAATTGGACTTGCCCACGCCGGAATCTCCAATCAGAACCACCTTAAAGAGGTAGTCGTAGTCATCTTCAGCTCTGTAGCCGGCCATCACAGTGCCCCCTTCTGAAGAAGAAGAAGAAGAAGAAGAAGAAGAAGAAGAAGAAGAAGTTTGGTTGGAGTAAGGGAAGAGGAACGGGGAATGGCTAGATCTCTGCGTGCTCGCTTTTTGGGGGTCCTTTCTCGATACTCTTGAGATTGTGAATTGGAAATGGGAGAGACCGCGGGTTGGCCTGTGCTGGGCTGGACTCCAAAGAGGAGGAGGAGAACACGTCTCTTTTTCAAATTTTGGAATTGAAATTGGTCTTCTTTTTTTTGGTTCTAGAAGGCTGTTGAATTGACGCCAATGCCCAAACTCTACTCGCTATTCGAACTGGTTAAAGAAGGACATTTTCGTCATTTTAAATCATGGAAGCTTATTTATTTATGGGAGGGAAAAAGTGTGACACTTCCGAATCTTATTTCAAGTTTGGTTTAAATTATGGTTTTTTTTTCTTTTTTTCTTTTTTTTAGTAAATTGTTAAATGAAATTTAACTTTAAATAATCTAAATATCAGCTGCAAAAATAAATAAAATATTAAGTTATAACAATTTTATACTTTTTTTTAATTTTAAAAAATATAATAGGTCGGAACACAGCAATGCAAAAACACATTTCTATCACTAAATAAAATATTAAGTTATAACAATTCCATACTTTTTTCATTTTAGGTAAGTTTTCGGTTAAAAGAATTCAGAATTAGGATAAGAAAACCAAATTCAGCAAAAATGGAAAATGAGATTGCGTTTGCCGGGAGTCGAACCCGGGTCTATTGCTTGGAAGGCAATTATCCTAACCGTTGGACTACAAACGCTACAACTGTCGGTTTTCTACAAGATATCAAAATAAATAATAATGTTTTTATTTTGGGAAAAATGTCGGATATATCCATTTCCTATTTATAAAATATTTATAAATACAGAGTATAATGTTTAAACCGTAAATAATTTAATCTAAATTTTATATTTTTGTAGTAAAATGAAATAATCTATTAAAATTCAAGAATAATGATTATTTTGATTTCATAAGAAAAATTCTAAATTAATCGAACTTTATAATTTTGTCTCACTAATACAGGAATGTATAAAATGTTGGAACCATAACCTTTTATAATAGTATGATAATCTTTAATTTGAATATAAGTTTTCATAGTTTTACTTTTAATTTATCGAAAATGTCTCGTACCAATGAAGATGTGTTATTTATTAATAAATTCATTAGGTTCCCTTATAATTAACCATATGAGACAGAAAATATCGAATATCTTCCGTACATAGAATACAGAATACAAAAGGTAAGGACAACAATAGATGTTTATACATTTTGGTGTATTTTACCATTAAAACTAGTCACCAGCTTAATTGAATTAAATAAACAAATAAATAAAAAGAGAACAATTTAGAGATAAAATAGAATATTTTAAAAAGAATGTTAATTATAAAGTATTTTGCTAACTTCAATATATTTTTTTTGTCTTTTATGTTAAACATTTAGAAACGTTATATGCATGGGATTGTGACAGATGAAGAAAATATGAATAAATAAAATCAAAGATACGTACAACAATTTCATACGTTTGATCTTAGACTTAAAGCCCGTCCATTGGACTTTAAAGTTGGCAGTGGGCGGCTAAGGGGCAAAGGCGGAAGCCATGGCGAACACGCGGCATTGTTGCACCGTCTAAGGATGAGCATTTAATGGCACAGAAAATCAAATATCCGCTGTCTTTTGACTTCCCCAATCCCCATACTATTCGCTTTTGGAACCTTCCTTCTTTTTCCACATCCTCCATACATCGCCTCTTTTGCCTCGTTGGATCCCAAATCCATCTTCTACCTCCCTTAATTAAATCAATGTCCCCCCAATCCCGATTTAATTCCCATCTTATGATCGTCATTATATCATGTCTAACATTATGATCAACTATTTAATTGAACCTTTAACTTGTTTATATGTACACGCCCCCATTCCTCAAATCCACATTTTCTTATTCCATTTTCTACTCTCTCTCTCTCTCTCTCATGGCTGTCTCCACCAACAAATCTTTACTCCCCCTTCTTCTTCTTCTTCTTCTTCTATCCTCCATTTCACCATCTTCCCAATCCAGAGGCCTCAACATCAACCGGCTCTTCTTCGCCGCTCTCCCAAAAGGCTGCACGCCGCCGTCTGCTCCCAGCGATAAAACCCACGCGGGTCTCCCCGCGCAGGACTTCCTCCGTGGTCGCCGCCTCATCCCCGCCCATCCCCCGCATTATTATTACAGCAATCGAATCCTCCGCTCCGTCCCCAGCCCCGGTGTCGGCCATTAACAGCTTCCCAGTAATCATCTCTTTCTCTCTCTTTCTTTTCAAATTTGATTCTCAGGTTTATCGGTGTACATAAATTAGGAGAAATTGTTAAGTGTAATTCCTTTTCAGCTCTTCCTAATTTAATTTTGTCCCTATCATTATTAATTATTATTAAACTCTTAATCTCTTGGTTTGTTTAATTACGAGTTCATTATTTCAATATTTTTACGGTGTAAACTCATTCTTCAAAAAGAAAATAAATTTATTATTTAAAATAACCTCCTTTTTAAGGCCCCATTGTATAATGAAAATTAGAGAATCAGAATAAAAAATAATAATAACAATATGTTGCTAAAGATAATTTGGAATAAAGATTATTACTATTAATTATTAATTACTAATATTGGAAATATCAATGAATTAGAAATAGGGTTAACTTTAAGGGAATAATTTAATTTCTCTTTAAAAAAATAATTTCATAAAATAATAAAAATGAGAATAAAAAAATAAAGCTAAAAAATTCTCATCCTTTAATTTCAACGTAGTAGTAGGCATAAATTGTAGGCATAAAGCAATTAAAATTGCGTCAATAACACACCATATTCACTTCTCTACCAATATTTTGTACTCTTTGATCATATCTGTGTAATAACGTTGAGATAGAGTGTTCGTTTCATTTAATAACTTTGAGATCTATTTGGTTTTTGAACTTGTTTGGTATTTAATAAGTCTTTAAATTTTCAATTTTATGTAGGGGTATTTGTACGACCCAATAATATTATCAACTCGAAATATCCAATCCTACCTCGATTAATCCTAGGGTTGGGTTGATTTTTTTAAATATCAAATTTTTAGTTAGATCAATCAAAACAACTCAGAAAATAGGGCTGCAATCGAGCTCAACTCTATCCCAAATCTTAAAAAGATTAAAATATTTAACATTTGTAATTGATGCTAGTGATGCATTATAACTTCTAAATGTTCGATATTTAAATGAGAGATTTTAGTTATTGATGTAATATGTGGCGTGAATAATTATAATTTTTTTTTTAATAATTTTAAAAAGAATAACTTGACAACTCCGTCCAATTCAAAAAGCAGAGAGTTAGGTTTAGGTTGGATTGAATTGTACTTAAAATTTTAAATGCTAATAAATAAATAAATTTTTAAAATTTAATATGGAAGATTCTAGACACTTTAAAAGGGAAGGATTAAACTTTTATTTTAACTTAATATTTATATTAAACATTTTTCCTTGGTTTTTTTAGAATATTTCAAATTAGTTATAAATCACCCTAATTTTATTTGATAAAATAAAAAAATTCCATAAATCCAAATAAAAAAACACTCAACCCATCCAAAACAAACAAAATGCCAAATCAATCACAAAATGTAATAATTTTTTAAAAGAATATTACCATATATATGTAAGGAAGAAGTTATTAAATATATTTATTCAAATTCAATATTTAGGTAATAAAATTATAGATTAATTTTTTTTTTTTTGGATCCATATTATTGAACAAATAATGGAAAATTCACAAAATAATTTATTTAATCAAACAAAAAAACTTGTCACATCATATGATTGTATTAACTCCATTCCAATTATGAAGATATATCCATTAATTAAAAAAAAAAAAGGAAAAAAGAAAAATCCATTAATTTCAAGTGTTTTCTATGGAAAAGTGCAAAAATAAAACGAAAGAAACACTAAAAGCGCTTTGAGTGGATATAATTATTATTATCGTTAAATAAAGAAAATTAGTGCACCATTTTTATTTTTATTTATACTCGTAACACAATGTATTAAATTAGGAATAAATTATGACACTCGAATAAATGAGAGATACATGAATGAATCGAGAACACATCCGAATGAGAGTGATCTTCAGAATAAGATGATTAAGAAAGACTTAAAAGAATTAGAAGTCACTATCTATAATCTTCGTAATCTTATAGAGTTTACCCGAAGTAGGTAAGTGATATAAGAACATACTCATTAAATATGATAAAGTTTAAAAAGGTAGCGTCTTTATCTATCCTAATTAATTAATATTATTTTAAAAAAATGTCAAAGCTTTGGCATAAAATCAAAATTGAATTGATTTAGCTCTTTTTTGTGTGGGAATAAAAAAGAAAAAAGGCTCCATTAAAACCATCCCATGAGCCCTACAAAGCATTTAGAACACTAAAGATTAATGTAAAGAGGTGGCTTACTTGTCACTTCATGCCTCCACCTGTCCACCTTTTTTAAATGGACAAAACAATATCATCAAACCACCCAACAAAACAAAGCAAAAAGGAAAAACATTTGTAATTTAAGATTCATGGGTCCAACTTGAGTGTATTTTGCTGACCTGCTGGCTTGATTAGTGAGAAAGTCCAACATGAACCATATGGGCTTGGGCAATTTGGAATGGAATTTTGTGATCCTCATAAGCCCACACCAAAAACATACAGATTGTGGCATTGTCCTCAGAAATGTCCCTTTTTTGGTAATAAGGGTTTGTGGGTGCATGCGATGGAGGCCGATGGATGTTATACTTCAGTGCCCCAAATGGGTATTCAATCATCTACTCTCTCATGTCCTTTCATTCTCATCTTTGTCACTGTTTTTTCTTACTGTTTGATCCAGGATGAAGTTCTTTCTAAGCATTGTGTATTTTAAATGATGGGTTCTCTTTTATTCCATCCCTTTGGAATTTCAATGGGGAGCTGCCATTGTTTGTATGTATTTTGAGGTTACAATTCTTTTATTCAAGTGAGATCCAATATCGGTTGGGAGTAGAACGAAACATTCTTTATAAGGGCGTGGAAACCTATAGCATATGCATTTTAGAAACCTTGAGGATACCTTGAGGGGAAGCCCGAAGAGGACAATATCTGTTAGATGTGGGCAATGTGACAGTAAAGAGGTTGAGCTCTGAAGGGGTGGACACGAGGCGGTGTGCCAACAAGGTCGCTAGGCCCCTTGGATTTGGGGGTCCTACATCGATTGGAGAAGGAAACGAGTGTCAGCGAGGATGCTGGACCTCGAGGGAGATAAATTGTGAGATCCCACGTTGGTTGGGAGGAGACGCGGAATCTTATAGGATTGAACCTTTACCATTTGTTAGATTATTGTCATGTCTAATCATGGTTTACTTTATGAACTGTTTGCTTTCTTGCTACTATTTTGCGGTGCTTGTTACTTTCATTGGCAGAGCCAATTTATCGAAATTCTCATATTCCTTGTTTTACTGCTATGAAAGTATTGAATAACTTTATGAAATTCTTTATGCAACCCAACCGTGGAGACAATGCTCTCATCATATCAACAATCTACTGTAGGGGACTAACTGTGTAGTTGATTTTCATCTTATCAACAATTTACTTTGAATGTTGTCTATAAGTCTGGATTGAAGATCTTTCTGGGCAGGAAACTCGTCGTAGCGACTCGACACGATGTAACACATCACGTATTTGATAAAACTTAGCTCAAATTTATTGAGTTCCTATGTTTTTTCGGGACAGCCACATGAATGAATGTATTTTGTCTCTTTTTGCAGCTCTTCAAAAGTGAGAACACAAAGATGAGGTTCATTGATAAGGCTTGTCTGCTAAGGAAAGTGTCTTCCAGCTAAGTCCCCAAGGTAATGAACACAAAGATTAGAGTTTTGGTTCGTACTCCATATTCCTTTATGCTTTTCCATACACAACTCTTATCCTTTAAGTCATCTTTTGTACAAGCTTTGCGTTCTGAAAATGTCAAACACAACTTATCTCATCTACAAAACAGGATCTGATATGATCTACAAATGATTCAGTTTCGTTGAAGTAACGAATTCTTAACGTAGGATCCCACGTCGGTTGGAGAGGGGAACAAAACATTCTTTATAAAGATGTGGAAACCTCTCCTTACCAAACGCGTTTTGATACGTAATGGACTAAAGCGGACAATATCTGCTAGCGGTGGGCTTGGGCTATTACAAATGGCATCAGAGTTAGGTACCGTGGGTGTGCCAACGAGGATGTTGAGCCCCCAAGGGTAACGAAACATTTCTTGTGAAAACCTCTCCCTACTAGACGCGTTTTAAAAGTTCCTAACTAAGTTCTTACAAATCTTCCTCCCATATCAGACGTAATCTAGATGAATATCAATCAAACTGAGGCAATCCAAGATGAACTTTACCAGAGTCATCAAAATCGACCAATATGAACATATGAAGAGTGGAACATTTTAAATTCTTCATATCACAGTCCCTGACGTGAAGTGGAGTTAATAGAAAAATGTTGAAAGTAGGGTCCCAACCTCCTTTTGCTGTCGTCTTAGAATATGAACACAAGGGTAGTAAGATTGCAGCCACATCTTTACAGGTCCGTGGTCGGTCAGTTTGGAATGGTGAAGACTTAAAAGCGATGAAAATCAAGCTGAATCTCTCCCTTTGAATTCTGGGAAATCCATACCTTTCAAAAAAGTATATATATATATATATATATTTTTTTTTATGTTCTTGGGTAGAAATTTAAACGTACACATATATCTTAATCAGTTGATCTGTGTTTGCCTTGACAATTAGAAATATGTACATGTTAGATTGGGTCGGGTTAAAGGTACTTTAGAGTCAATATCTTTGGGTTGGTTGGTTCTTTGGTCCGACCCATCCGATTAAAGATGACAACCTAGCCCACCCCTTGTATCATGAAAATTTAGAGCTTTGGTTGGCGAGAAAGAATGAGATACAGTTGAATATAGTCGAATTGATTCAATTCAAGTTGAACCAAATGTTTTTATTTTTAAAACTCGTTTGTCTAACTCAACCCAACCTTTTTTGATTCGAGTTAGATTGATAAATTTTTTCAACCACCGTAACTAATCTCCTATTATATATGGTTAACCACACTCAGACTATTTTTAAAATTTGCATTGAATTTCTGAATCTGCTATTAAAAATATATTTAAAAACATAAAAATAAAATTTTTATTAATTTTCATTTTTAGTTAGTCAAAGATTTAAAATATTTTTTAATTATAATTCTCGGATTCCAAAGCACACAAATTTATTTTTTATTGTCCCTACCTAATTTTTAGAGACATTTTTATACCACTTCCATTTTATTTTCTTAGCCTCACGATGAATGAATTTCCAAGAAACTATATATTACAATTAAAATTAATTAAATCATAAAGTTTCATAAATCAATATAATCATTAATTTAAAAGTTTTAATTATATTATTCATATTTTTCTTTATGACAGCTAATTTCCGAAATTAAGGAAGGGTAGGTTTGGAAGATGGACTCAACTGGTTGGCTATCCACCAAACGGGCACAGATGCGGTGATGCTTTACGTAAACGACAGTCCAATATAATCATGACACGTCATTAATTAAACCAAATAACGCAATAAAAAAGTCCACGGCGACAGCATTATTTAATTGAGTCGGGTCAAAAGCACCCGTCCCGATGGGTTTTCTTTTTTTCTTAATTGGAAAAATCGCTATCTGACGTCAGCTAGCAAAGTCTTTGACTTTAGACCTTACACGCTGACATTTGTTACCACGTGGCGGTCTTTTAATGGCTGGAAATTATCGAATCGGTACGCAACTTGTCGGCCTATTAATTTTGCCACCAGGCTACGTGGCAGATTTAGAATCTGAAACGTGGATATTTTTAATTGGCTGGTGGAATGGAAAAAATAAATCTCTTAAATATTCCACCATTTTGAATATTCCGCTACAAATATCCATTTAATTTGATTTTTCTCTTCTTTTGCTAAATTAAACTAAAATTCTCTGTCCCACTTTTTATATATTAATATCTCTTGCAAAGAAATTAAAAAAAATTTAAATGTTAAAAGTTATGCTGTATTATTAAAATTATAGTATTTAAAAATTATGTTCGAACATAATGTTTGATTAACTAAAATTAAAAAAATGAATATTTTGAAAGTAATTATTGAAAAGAATACTAATAATTAATTACCGTCTAGGAAGTAATCCTAAAAAGCATTGTTTTTTTGTTTTCATAGGAAAAAAAAACAATACTTTTGAAAATGGGTTAATAAGTTTAAATTAAATGATTAAAATGTTTGAAGTGAAACCAAAAATATTCAACTGCCAGCTGTCAACCACAATAACTACTGGGCCCCACTGACTTTTTTCTAGTCAACCCTTCCTCAAATTCCACTACATACAAAATACTCCACCATTAGATTACATTTCTATATATTTTAAGAAAAATAATAATAAATTTTGTTCAAATTTGATAATATATAAGATTAAAAAAATTAGTTAAAATGTTGGATTATTTTATTTTTAATAGAATTATAAATATTTTATTTTAAAAATTTTAAAAAATATCAAAGGAGTCAAGAATATGTGAAACAAAATTAAAAATTTGTGAATTTTTTTAAGGTGGAAAAATCATAGTGCGTTTAATTCTTAATTGAGAGCATGATAGGAATCTGTGATAAATTTATCGTCAAACCTTTGGAACGTCACTTTCCCCGGTACTGGCCGCCATTGCTAATTCATGGACGATCTTACAATTTCTCGCTTCCCTTGATCGAACGCGGAATCCCCATTTCCCTTTGTTTGTTTCTTCTTTTTTTTTTTTATAAAGCGATTCTTTTCCGTTTCTATCTTCTTGTGTTTTTCAATTCTCCATTAATCAGCAACTTGCTTTGCTTCACGACCCACCAATTGGCGCAACACTCTTTGTACAAATTACGGTTCTTCGTCTCGTTTAACTCTGGTTTTGATCTGTGGTTTTCTTTTTCTTCCAAGATTTTCGAGTTTTCTGTTCTTTTTCTTCCGATTTTGCATCGTCAATTTCTCGGTGCTTTGTTGAATTTCGGTAACCCTAGAATTTGGGGGTTGGTGGGGGTTTTATGGCTGCCGCTGCGATTTTCTCGTCTTTACGGAGAAGGAGATCGCCGTCCTTGGAGGTATTTTTGGCCCCTGTTGACCTCTCCGATGTGGCCTTAGTTCGAACCCTGGCGGTTGTTGCGACGGAGCTCGTTTCCCGATTTTCTCAGAAATCCTTCTTCTTTCAGCGGAGGAATTCGCGATCTCTGATAAGGAAACTGGAGGTGTGTTTAGTCTTTTTGGACTGTTTGAAGGATTCCGGTGCTACTTTGCCTCACACAGCGTTGCTCTGTTTGAAGGAGCTTTATTTGTTGTTGTATCGGTCGAAGATACTCCTTGATTATTGCTCCGAATCGAGTAAGTTATGGATGTTGCTTCAGAACCACTCGATTTCGGGGCATTTCAATGATTTGAATTTGGAGTTGTTGACATTTTTTGATGTTTTCCCTTTTGAGGAAGTTGAATTAGCTGTGGATGTTAGAGAACAGGTTGAGCTCTTGCAAAAGCAATTGAGAAGGACTAGGATGTTTGTTGATGAATGCGACGAGGTGTTGAGGGCGCACTTCCTTTCGTTTCTCGACGAATTTGAGAACGGGAGGCTTCCGAATCCGAGGGAATTGAGGGAATTTTTTGTGGATAAGTTGAAGATTCGGAATGCTAAGTGTTGTAGAGCTGAAATTGAGTTCTTGGAGGAGCAGATTGTCAATCATGAGGGCGACGTTGAGCCAACCTTAGCAGTGTTAAATGGTTTTGTTGCTTTTACTAGATACAGTAGATTTCTCCTCTTCGGATTTGAGGAAGATGAAGTTGATTCAGGTGCAGGGAACCAGAAGAAGCTGAAGAAGAACTTGATTAGCCAGGAGATTGCTGAGACGCTTTTAACGATTCCGAGGGACTTCTGCTGCCCGATATCACTGGATTTGATGAATGATCCGGTGATCATTTCTACAGGTCAGACATATGACCGCAGTTCGATTACTAGATGGATGGAAGAAGGGCACAGCACTTGCCCAAAGACGGGGCAATTGCTCGTTCATACCCGCCTCGCTCCCAACCGCGCGTTAAGGAATTTGATCATCCAATGGTGCATTGCCCATGGAGTTCCTTATGATCCACCAGAAGGAATGGATGCATCTGCTGAAAGTTATGCAATGGCTTCTCCAACACGTGCTGCGCTCGAAGCCAACAGAGCAACAGCTATAATCCTTATTCAACAGTTATCAATCGGATCGCAAGATGCAAAGTCGATTGCTGCTCGTGAGATTCGTTTGTTGGCCAAAACAGGGAAAGAGAATCGTGCGTTCATCGCAGAAGCCGGTGCGATCCCCCATCTTCAAAAGTTGCTGGCTTCCCCAAACCCAGTTGCACAGGAGAATTCAGTGACTGCTATGCTTAATCTCTCAATATATGACAAGAACAAAAGTTTGATTATGAGTGAGGTAGGGTGTTTAGGATCGATAACCGAAGTGTTGAGATCTGGACATAGTACAGAAGCACGGGAAAACGCCGCAGCTACGTTGTTCAGCCTCTCTGCAGTTCATGACTACAAGAAGAGAATAGCAGAGGAGAGTGGTGCAGTTGAAGCCTTGGCAGGGTTGTTGAGAGATGGTACCCCAAGAGGAAAGAAGGACGCTGTAACAGCTTTGTTTAATCTCTCGACGCATACCGATAACTGCGTTCGGATGATAGAGGCCGGAGCAGTAACAGCGCTTGTAGTAGCATTGGGGAACGAAGGTGTTGCTGAGGAAGCAGCTGGTGCATTGGCCTTGATTGTTAGACAGCCCGTTGGAGCCGAAGCAGTCGCTAAAGAGGAGAGAGCTGTGGCAGGATTAATAGCAATGATGCGATGTGGTACACCAAGAGGAAAAGAGAATGCAGTAGCAGCTTTGCTCGAGTTATGCCGGAGTGGAGGCGCTGCCACGACCGAGCAAGTGTTCAAGGCTCCCGCTTTGGCTGGGTTGCTCCAAATGCTCCTATTTACCGGTACCAAGCGAGCAAGAAGAAAGGCTGCTTCGCTAGCTCGAGTGTTCCAAAGATGTGAGCATGTCGTAATGCATGGGGTTGGTTATGCCTATCCAAGTAACTCGGCTTCTAACAGGGACTCCAGCTTTGCTAGCGAGGTATCTGTGCCGATATCCATCTCAGTACCGGTCGTGTAGTCACGCTATTCACTGTTCCCCAATTTTGTTCAAACGTTAACCGATTCTTTGATTGAAATATTAGAACGGAAGGATTATAGCCACAACCATGTCCATATTTTATGAAACAATGGTTGCTAGTAATGATGTATCTACTCTTCGTTTTACATACTTGTATCCTTGCTGTAATAGAAAATATTTATTGGCAAAAATAGAGGCTCAGTTACAACATTCATCACTTCGATCCTGGAACTAGGATGAGCTCTTTCCATTTCCAATGCCTTAAAATTGGTTCAATATGGGTATCTTCCAATGCCATCAATTTGTCCAAAAGCCCTTTGTGAAGATATGTTTCCTATCAAATCAGTCATCATTACCCTGTTGAATAGACAAAGACTCATTTCCACATCACTTTGAAAATCCATCGACACATATCATGATCTCAATAATGTTTTTGGGAGAGGCGTGTTTAGTGAACGACTTCATGTGTTCTCTGCGATACAATTTGCGTATCTATGTCTAAGGCTTTATGGGTTCCTTTTGAGTACCTACACCCAAGACTTCATGTGTTCCTTGTGACGTAGTCTGTGTCATAGAACTATGTTACACTGTTCATCAGGAGGTCTTTAGGATATCTCAAGTTCTCGTTCTAAGAGTTTTTTAAGCATAGTTAGGTGGCAAAGTAACGAGCATTGGATCGGGGAAGTCTCACTCAG